TTTTCCTGTGTAATAAGTGCATTAAGATAAAAAAAACATATTTGGGTTATGTTAGATTTAGAAACCTATGCAACAGGGACAATGTTTGCTTTGGTTGGTTGCATACCCAAAACAGTACTATAATCACAAAAAGCTGGAGCTGAATTACGTCTCATAGACATCTATTTCTATGAGTTCCATTATGAACTAGTGGGCAAACATTATTAAACAAATGTAAATTTGTAACATTTTCTATTTTAAAAAAGTCATTTCTAATAAAAGTGATTTTAAAAAAGAATACCTCTTCTCGGTTTTGTGCTTCACAGCGGGTATTTCAATTTAATGAGGGGTTAACTAATTTTAAGGAAAGGTAGAGGCCTTTGCTAGTATTGCAGTTAGGTAGTCGTATACATTATTAAAAAACCAAAATGTGCACGCTTGAATTTGCTTAAGCAGGCCTGATGCACCGCCTACTCGGAAAGTTCAGGAAGCTGAATGCAGCATGTTGCTCTTACCACGCGGTCTGATACTTGATGGTTTCGTTTTCAGATAGTCTTGGTTTGACGTTCATTTTGTGACGTCAGTTTTCTAGAAATAACCTATTTTTCCATATTCACAAATGTTCCAACCTTGGTGGACAAAGTTTATTCTAAGCAAATCTGTGTAGAAAGATTGTAAATGTTAATCCTACGTATTAATTTATGGATTTTTTATTCATTCTGGTTGAAAAGTCTAAGCTTTAGACTATCAATATTTTATCGATAGATAATCAATAAAATCTATTCATCAGAACATGCCAAACCACTCGGCCGGCAGCGGGGACATGGGATGCAGAAATAATTTGAAATTTGATTAATAATAGTTACCTAATTTCATGTTTTGAATGTGATAATATACCTCTGGTTTTAGCATAGTCTGTATTTCAGCGCTCTATTGTTTTTAAGACGGTCTGTGACTTTCAGGAAATATGTGTAATGCAGAAAATACACTATACATACACTATACACTATAAATGTACACTATACATTTTCTCATTCCCAAAAATGAGAAAATGAACGTGAAAGAATGCTTATAGATACGTTAAACATGTTGAAAACAAGATTACCATACAAATCTGCAAATCTCTGCATTGCATTTTCGTACAGCATTTCACTTAATGCGCTGCACCGAATCCACTCTTCGCCTCTTTAAAATAAGAGCTGTATCCTTATGTTTTTCTCCCACAAGAACATTATTTTAGGCTTATTGTAAAGGAATGGCTATAAAACTTAATAAATGCGCTTTGACAGGAAAGACCGAGAAAATCGGCGGTTAGCCAATCAGCACGCACCCAGGCAGTTTGACCCCCGCAGGCTGTACAGGCGGAGCCCCGCCCCGGGTCCCGCCCCCCTCCATTCATCCCAACGGCAAGGGGGCGGGGCCTTGGGTGGAGGTCTTCCAGGCGCGCCCCGTGATTGACGGCGGGGGCCATGGGGAAGCTTCCAGACGTTTCTGGAAGGAGGCTGTTTCTCGAACGATCTGCGCTGCCGCTATAAAAGCGATGCAGCCCGGCTGAGGAGTCATTAGAGGGGTGTTTTGCAGTAACGGCCAGCCTAGAGCTGAAGACCTCACTGGAAAGTGTTGCAGATTGATAAAAGACTGGTGACAGCCAAGGTAAGCTCGAAATAAGCACAGCGGACCTCCACGAGTTTATTAGTGTCTCACTCATACATTCTTTACAAGCTGTACCTGGGGTGAAAGCAGACTAGCTGTATCTATAAGACGGGGTGTGACGTGAGCTGTGGGGAAACTATTGGCCGTTAGAATAAGATGTTCATGCTGCAGACTTAACCCTAAACACCTGAGGCAGTTCGTTTAAAACGGGGAAAACCCTCGCAAACCCTTCCGCGGCGGTGTCGGTAGCCGGGTCTGTCGTGTGTCCTTGTGGTCGGGTCGGTGGCGGCTGTCCCCGCTCTGCCGGCCGGGGGAGGCGCGCTGCCCGCCGCAGGTGAAGACGGGCGGTCTGGGCGCCGGGGATGGTCTGGTATGTTCTGGAAACTCGCAGTTCCCTCGCCTCGCCGCCGGGGGCCGCTGCGCTGCGGCAGAGCGGAGCTGGAGCCGTGTGGTGGTGGCGGCGGCGGCGGCGTGGGCCAGGCTCGGCTGGCTTCTAGAAAAGTCCCCGTCAGCCTCCTGCAGGGGGGGCAAAGGCAGGAGCTGGAGTCATCAGCTCCACCTGCTTCGGGTGGAGGAGCCCTGACTGTAAGGGGAAGAGTTTTCGGCCACACGCGTGATCTCCGAGGAGTACAAGCGCTGATTTTTATTTTTATTTCCTTTCTCTGTTTTCCCAGTACTTGGTTAATGACTCAAAAGCATCTATTTTAAATTTTATAAGTAGTTCAGAAGCGCACGATACGCGTCCCAGTGGGAATGATAGTAATTAGTGTGGTCCATTTATAGTAGGACCTGTCGGGGGACTTCAAATCTGTGAGCTTTGTGGGCAGTACTACCTCCCAGTTTCATAGGTGACCTCGTGTATGGAAAAGGTAGATGACAGTCTTCTTAGTGACTGCAAACATCTGGAAATGTCAGCTACAGCACATTGAGATGTGTCCTGGCTGTCACTGTGGAAAACCTGTTTCACTGGTGGATGTCAGGTTATTCACTAACTGAGCACAAGAGTGGTTATCAGGGCAAAGTATTAATAATAATAATTGCTTACACTTA